AACACTCAATTTTTGAGATATCAATTTAGGATTCAGAACATGCTTAAACAACATGATGGAGTATGTTTTGGTGCCGAGAACGGCTGTCTAGATCGTTTGGTCACTTTACTATGATACGTTAACTTTTCGAAATTTGGAAGCACCATAACTTCATTTTTTTAAATGGCACCCCCCATATTTTATTACTTAGTCGTCTTCGGCGTCTCATTTTACATCTTTCATATTCCATATGTCCTATGCCTAACATTAATAGTTTGAGAAATAATTGGGGTTTTTTGAAAAATGCTCACATATCATATCGATATTAACCCCAGAAACGTCTAATGACCGGTCTCGCTGAGACACCCTGTATAAAACCTGACAGGTATTTATAAACTTTTGCTTGAAATGCTTTCATGTAGGACGTTTAATTTAAATTTTTTACCATTAAAACTAATATCTAAATTGAAAACTCAGCTGATTTTATATTTATTCGAAAGTCAATTGAAAAAATTGGTTAACGGGGGATTGCTGACATTGTACGAATTGGGCTGAAGGAAAAAGGGTATCACGGCAGTCTATGCAACGTGTGTGCGTATTTTATTCTGTTCGACTGAACATCTATTTTCAAAGTGTCGATACGCTTTATGCGAGAACTGTGAGAACTGAAATATGAATTTTATCGGATTGATTTGACACATCGACGCCCAAAAGTTCCGGCAGCACCCGGAATTCTGTGACAAATTTCATTTTGCTAGGACTTCTTTTCGCCCCTAACTCACTTCAAGTTATACTACGAAATTTTAGAGAGCTTTTTCGTACAATTTTTTATTTACAATATTAAAAAAAAGAAGAAAATAATTGTGGGAGTAAATTTTTTATTAACATTTTTATTAAATCATTAGACGGTAGCAAAAGCAATCAAAAAACCTCCTGCAAAACTGGAAACGAAGGATGTATTTTTCTTAATTAATTGACGAAATTTGTCCCTATCAAATCTACATCCTCCCGCCCCCATTTTACTTTGCACCGCCTTTGCTTTATTTCGCGCATCGTCCCAATTGCTTTTCGTAAATCCAAAGTTTTGAGCTATTTGAAAGGCGAGAACTCCCGTACCCACAACCAATGCAGCTTTTCTTCCCACTTTCATAGTCACGTATCCGGTTGCATAACCAAGAACAACACCCAACAATAATTGCTCTGGATGAGAGTTTCTTCCAAATCCTCCTAATTTACTGAACGTGCTTTTGACATTTTTCATTTCGATTATTTAAGTTTTTCTCCCAATTTTATTAAAAAACATGATTTTTTTTACTTTGAACAATGACATAAAAATGACACCGAATACGAGTTGTATTCGTATATGACAGTTTTGACTTATTTTACTTTGGTTTCCATGTGGTTTTATCAAATCCAAGAATTCGGTTTGTAAAAATTATCTAAAAATGAATTTTAAAACTACCAGCACAACGTTAGGACTTTCAACAATCTCCAAATTTACGGGTTGTAAATCAAGTTATAAGGATTCAAAGTAAGCGATAAATCAGATCATTTCAATTGGGTAATTTTAATTGTGCTTATTTAGAAAAGTTGATGGATTAGAAAATCGCATAAAAATGTGGAGAGAAACGTTCGAATTAGTGGCGGAAAACTCCGAATTTGTAGCTACCACCCAATTGGGGCCTATGTTAAAATCAATCGGATTTCACGTCGACGATGAAGAATTGCCATATATATTCGATCAAGAAGAAATGCGATTAGGAGATTTTCTTAAAATAGCGATTAAGAAATATAAACAAACTGAAAACGAGCGTAAATTAAAAGAAGCTTTCAGATCGTTTGATTTGGATAAATGTGGGTATATTTCGGCGGAAATTCTTCGACACGTTATGTGTTACATGGGCGATCAAATAAAGGAGGACACTACGGATGAGATTTTAAGACAATTCGAGATTGATCCAGATGATGATGAAGTTGATTATCTAGAAATCGTTTCTATCTTAAGCCAAAGTCGAAATATGATTAAAGATTTTGTAAAATAAAAATAAAAGGTTATTAAGTTATTTGCAAAAAGAACTTTACAAATGATATGAATAGGGGTCGATAAGACAAGAAATCTTGTTTTTAAGTAAACTTCTTGTCTTGTTGTGGCTATGAGGTCACAACAATCATACCGTTACTTTGTGGGTGATAAGCAGATGTGTGTATTTGATGAGTACCTAAAAATAATTGGAATTTTGAAAATAATAGTGATTCGAATTGTCGTCCTTGATCGTGAGTGATCATGGTAGGAATACCGAAACGGCTGAAGTTGCCTGAAAAGAGTATCTGCAATAGAGGCTGCAGAGATATCTTTTAGAGGAAAAGCCTCTGGCCACCGTGTGAAACGCTCAATGACTGTGAGCAGATAAGTACATCCAAGAGATGGAACAAGTGGGCCAACCAAATCAATGTGAATGTGTTCAAATCGAACTTTTGAAACTTTGATTTTGAGAATTGGCGATTTTGTATGCCTTTGTATCTTAACTTTCTGGCATTGTAAACATGATTTTGTCCAAATACGAATTTGTTTCGACATATGAGGCCAAAAGAATTTTGTTTTTATTAAATGAATGGTTGCTCGAATGCCAGGGTGAGATAAACCATGAAATTTTTGTATAACTATTTCTCTAAATTGCTGCGGAATGTAGATTCGCGGAGATTCCGTTGATATTTCACACCATAATTTGATATCAGGTAGCGTTGTGGGTTGTAGCAATAACTGATAGGGTGTTGTAGTGTGAGTGTGAGAAAATTGTTTATGTAGTAGGTTCGACAATTCGATATCTGTGACTTGAGCTTTGTAAAGTGTAAGTGTGTCGGGGTACTGAGAATTTAGGGATTCAATATTTGTCCTGGACAAAGCGTCTGCAACAATATTGGAATTTCCCTTAATGTATCTCACATCGGATGTATATTGTGTTATGTAATTTAGGTACCTGGTTTGTCGTGGTGTTTTTTCTGTTGATGAAAATATTGCCGTAGTTATAGGTTTGTGGTCGGTGAAAACTGTAAAATTGTTTCCGTGTAGGAAATGATTAAAAAATTTTATGGCAGAATATATTGCCAATAGCTCTCTGTCGAACGTTGAATATTTAACTTGACTTGGAGAAAGTTTATGTGAATAAAATGCTAATGGTTGCGGTGTTTCATCAATAATTTGGCTCAGAACTGCTCCTATACCTGTATTAGAAGCGTCTGTGGTAAGTGACAGCGAAGCGTGAGGAGATGGATGAGCCAGAACGGTAGATTTCGTTAGAAGATCTTTAGCTGTTGCGAAGGAAATTTCATGTTCATCTGACCAAGATGTTATTAATTTTTGTTTAATTGAATAAAGCGATGATGAAAGATTATGAAGGGGTGATAAAATATTAGAAATGTTCGGTAAAAATCTATGATAAAAATTAATCATGCCCAAAAATCTTTGTAGTTCCTTCAATGTTTTTGGTTTGGGAAATTTTGAAATAGCATCAATCCTAGACTTAGAAGGTTGAATACCATCGCTAGTGATATGATGGCTAAGAAAATCAATGGAAGTAACTCCAAAAACACATTTAGATGGTTGGATGTTGATATTGAATGTACTTAACCGTTCAAATAACTTCTCGAGATGTACATAATGTTCTTCTTCGTTATGACTTGCAATGAGAATGTCATCTAAATAAACGAATAAGAAGTTGAGACCCGAAAGAACTTCATTTATGAATCTCTGAAAGGTCTGAGCAGCATTACGGAGGCCAAAGGGCATACGAGTAAACTCGAAAAGACCAAAAGGAGTAGTGATAGCTGTCTTGGGAATGTCTTCTTCTTCCACCGGAATTTGATGATATGCCCTTACTAAATCCACTTTTGAAAAAATTTTGCATCCATTCAAATGTAAGTTGAAATCCTGAATATGTGGAAGGGGATATCGGTCCGGAATAGTAACGTTATTTAATTGTCGATAATCTCCACATGGTCTCCAATCATTGGAATCCTTTTTGGGGACCATGTGTAGAGGCGATGCTGTTGAAGAAGAAGAGGGTCGACATATTCCCATGGCTACCATCTGATCAAATTCCCTTTTGGCTATTGCGTGTTTATGTACATCTAAACGTCGAGGACGACAAAACGGTAAATGAGAATTAGTTATAATTTTGTGTGTTGTCTGATGTTTAACTGGTGAAGAAAAATCCGGTGTAGAGGTTAGTGATGGGAATGATTTTAAAAGGGTTGTATATATGGATTCGAAAGAAAAAAGTTTTGGTGTTGGTTCATTTGTTTTGATACTGGTACCAATTGAGTATAATTCTGTTTTTGAATCAATTAATCGTTTGTTTTTAACATCAACCAAGATACGACGGTAACGTTTAGTCGGTTATAGAGTGCGTGGGACGTCGGGGCGTATGTTCGCTGGAGCTCAATCGGTTGAATGGATTCTTCTTAATTCTTGAATTGGTAATTCTTGAATTTTTCAGTTGAATCTCATTTGCCGGGCTGGTTTAGTCGGGGTGAAGGGATAATTTTCAGGTTGTGACTTGGTTTAATCTTCTAGGTTGCGAGTTGTTTTGATCGGGGTCACCAAATGTGGCTATGAGGTATTAGCCAACATAATAATAAAATTAACTTTTTGACAGACTTTTTATTTTGCGTCTGTTCTGTTTGGCTTCAAAAACAATTGTGTGGCAAATATTAAAATAATAACAAATGAAAATACATTTTGTTTTTAAATGGAGCTGCTGCCACAGCACGCTACACTTGTCTTGAAAAAATATCGGTAAATAATCGGTAAATCCCTACTTATGTACCTACTTATTTTATCTGAAGCGTGTGCGTTTGCGGCTGGTAGTTACTTTTAGAGTTTAAAATTTGAAGCAGTCTAAGAATTTGAAAAGGTTATTAAGGAAGATTATTTTAATACACTTGCCAAGGATTTTAAAAATCCAAACCCCTCAAATAATAAGAATAACGATCCTAAAGACAAAAAATTCGATTTAGATATAACATCTCTATTTAAAAAACTAAGGACCCTGCCACTGTGAGTGTGATAGATCTCTGGAGACAAGAAATAGAAAAATATTTAGGGGAACCCCGAGAAAATAGTTCCGAGGAGAATATACTGAAAAAATAGCCAAAGACTTTCTAAGAACTCCAGCAACGTCAGTACCATCGGAAAGGCACTTTTCAAGAGCTTCTTTAACTATTGTTCTTGTCTTGATTCAAGACAAAATATTGAAATTTACAAGAAATTGGCGACCCCTAGATATGAACTGCAAAAAATTGCAACCTTTCAGATTTTTATAAGTTTATGTAGATGACGTAACCTTTATTAACCTCCTTAAAATGATTCATTTAAATGAATAACTCGGTAACATTTTCACATAAGAGAATAATTAAGTTAGTAGAAATAAGCAATTGAAGAGTGTAAGTTCTAAAGGGTCTAAGTGGCAAAATCGGAAATTTTTAGTTATACATGCAGAAAAGGTCTAAGTGCCATGCCTAATAGTAGTACAAACGGTATAAGTGCTGGCGATTTATTTAGGTGTTCATCTACTATAGGATAGATGGCGCTTCCTGTATGTGCCAAGATAAAATTGTAGTCAAAAGCAAGGACCATTATAGTCGATTAAAATCTCAAAAAGAATTTCTGAGCCCCGTTTTAAACATAAACCGCCTCTTCATAACATTTAAAAAGAAACATCCTAACACTGCAGTAAATTACAGATTTTATTCGGACACATTCCACAAACACTTCCAACATCTTCGATTTGGAAAACCAAGATCAGATACCTGCCCAACTTGTGATTTACTCAATTCCAAAATAAAGGCAAGCACTGCTGAAGACCAGAGATCCCTTAAAGGGAAACTTGAATTACACCAGCGAAAAGCCAAAAAAGCCAGGAAGGAGCTGCAGAATGATTTAATTGAATCACAGCAACCAACGTCTAATAATATAGTGATTTCCATAGATTTAGAGCAGGTCATCTTCATACCAACTCTCACTCATAGTGACATGTTTTACAGCCGTCAGTTCTCCTGTTATAACTTGGGCATAGATTTGGCAGACACCAATAGTGCCTTCATGTGTCTTTGGGACGAATCAGTAACAGGAAGAGGAGGTTGTGAAGTCGGATCTGCGCTCTTAAGAGTTCTTCTTTTCAACAATACGTTCGCAACTAAAAGTAAACTAGTCATTTGGAGTGACAGCTGCATTGGGCAAAATAAAAATCGAATGCTCCTTATAGTGCTTATATATTTAGTTGCAACGGGCAAGTTTCTGCAAATCGATCAAAAATTTCTAGTAAGTGGACATTCTTATCTTCCCTGTGATAGGGACTTCGCCCAAATAGAGAAACGCAAACGAGTTTGTAAGCTATTTGTATCATCAGATATAGAACGGATTAAAGAAGCTCGTCATCAAAATCCATTTGAGGTTGTCAACTTGGTTGAAAATGATTTCAAGGATCTGCAGAAGTTCGCGGATACTTTCATAAATACAGCAAATCTACAGATTTCTCAAGCTTCATGGATCCGAATTTCTAGTGAGAACCCAGGCCATGTAAAAATGAAGAAAAATTTCAGCGAGTTCGAAGATTGGAAAATCTGCAATTTATTAAAAAGAGGGAAAAGTATCCAGGCTCTTCGTTCGTACCAGATACCTCCCCTGCAATGTAAGAATCGGATTACTGCAGCCAAACTCAAAGATCTCAAATCTATGCAAGACTATATTCCACTTAGACATTATCGTTTTTATTCAGACCTGATTGGTAAAACCTCTAAGTTCATGCAGGAATAATAATCCTCCATAAATATTAATTTTAAAGTTTTTAGTTATCTAGTTTGAAATGTATTATGGGTTTAACTTTTTTTTGCAATAAAATATCCAAAAATTTACCCTAAGGTACTTAGATCTTTTTAAGATTTCCTGTTTTCATTTTTTTTTTGCAGTCCGATTTAAGCTTTTGTCTGCACTTTTTTCCTAAAGTAACATGTTCTATGTAAAAAATGTATAGTCACAGCTGCAATACTGTTTGCTACTTTCCAAG